CTCAACATTTATGTCTACAGCATATAGATTATAGATACCTATACGATATTTATTTCTAGGTACCAATAGAAATGATAAATTATACGGTGCTGCTGCAGCGCTGTCGTTACGCTCGCACACATTCATTATTATATATTAACGTACAATAGACGAGTTATTTTTTTGTTGAGGAATTTAGATTTTTAAATAAGTTTTTTTTCTATTCGTCAAATGGTAATAATTACCGCCCGCGATTATTGCAATTTTTTATGTATATGTATATATAACCTGATAATAACATTAAATATATAATATACCAAAAAAATAATATCATATCGGAAAAGAATCCGCCTCTGCGTCACGTTATTATGTTCAAAACGCCCTCCATGCTTAATAATAATGCGTGTAAATACTGAGTATATATATTATACCTACCTACTGCTTGCCAGTTACTACTCTCTTGTTAACACGACCTATAATAGCTCTCGTAAGAAAACGATTTTTTACTCTGCTTTTACGTTTAAAAACACATAAAGTATTTTATAAATGTTATATTATCATCCATCTAACCGTTGGTTTTCAAATATAATTTCAAATATAATACAACATTTATTATGTGATCTGAAAATTATATAATGCCACAATAATACAAACGGCTAAGGAAAACACGCCTGTTTAGTTTAATAGATGAATATTACAAAGCATAATGGAGCGTGTAGACTTGGCTGACGCTATAATGTTGTAATATTAGTTTTAATTTGTATTAATACCTACTAAGAACTTGCTTGCTTCACTCTCTCTTTTGAAAAAAATTGCGTAAAAAATTTCATTAAACAATATATAATTTTGCTGAGCGGCGTTGAGTAGGATTCAAAAACAGTTCAGCATCTCGTTAAGTTCTTAAGTTCTAAAGTTTAGAACTTAAACTATAATCAGTTTAATTTTGATCATGCTACTTCTTTGCACGAAGTATCATTATGTGAGTTCCAATTTATATAACTAAGGCTATAAAACATTTGAACAATTACACCGTATAAAAAAGTATTTTTTAAAAAAAAGCACACAACAGATATCTAATAATTTAAAACTTGATAGGTATATGATTTGTAATTGTATTTTAAGTGTAATGACAGGATTATTGGCATTCAAATTGTTGAAAAAAACCAAATTGATTCATATTATTTATAATTATAATGTTTTTAACCGACAGATTTCATCGACCATTTATCTTATCTTATCTTAGAATCCTTAATTTATTGTGTGATTATAATTATTTAATGTTCATAAATAAAAGTATCATATTATATACATATCTAAAATATAATATTACGATTTAAAATAATTATATAAAAATAAGGAAATAGGAACGTGATTGATTGTTGAGTGGTAAAAAGGGGTTTGGTTAGGATTCTGGTTAAAATAATATACCGACATGTTATAACTTATAACGTTCTACATTACCAAAACTTATATCTGTACCAACGCCGGCGCAGAAAAAAACGGCTGGAAAAAGTTATCGCCACAGTCTAGTCGGAATAATATATACCTATTAATATATTATTATCGGATACCTTTATAATACCCATCTATATAGTTACTAGGTATGTATAGATTATATAAAAACGTGCACTGCGTTTTTTTCCTCGGTGGCAGTTAACTGGAAATAATAATATATACAATATAACGCTTTATAAGCATTAGATATTTATACATATATAAGGCATATAACGAGTTTCACACTCCGAACGGTGATTTTTTCTTTAATTTTTTTTCCCTCCGGTAAATAATAATAATTGTCATTTGTGTCCCTAAGTAGCGGGCAACCTTCGTCGCGGGCATATACGACCAGTCAGCATGACGTGTCCGGAATACGCCATTTTACAAAATTATTTATGATGTGCGTATAGTGTATAATGTAAACGTATATGTATAATTTAAATGTATATAAACATACACACACTCACAGCGACTCGTCAACGCTGTTTGTTGTACATATTATCTTATTACATAATGTGTGTTAGTTTTATCGTAATATACTTTTACATATATAAATATATAAAAGATAGAGATACGTTTAATGAAGTCGTATAGAGGTGATAATATAATATTTATTTTAGTCGCACGATGTGTTAGATTTGTCGATTGTTGATACTATAAATTACATTCAAAAGCATAATTATGCATATTACCTGTCTATATATAGGTGGGTAGACGTCGCGTGTCTTTTAAAAGTAATATCGAATTAATCGTAGATAGGTAGGTACTCGAAAACAACGTGACACTTGCACGTACATTTTATTACATGCAAAATAATAATTATATATAAGTACCTAATATACAGTAAAACCTCTCTATAACGAAATCGTTTGGGACAAAAATGTTTTCCGTTACAAAAAATTTTCCGTCATAGAAAGATGGAAAATTATATATTATGTATTTGCACCGGAACTATTGACATTTTCCGTTATATGGAGGATTCCGTTTAATAGAGAGTCCGTTATAGAGAGGTTTTACTGTAATATCGTTTTTTTTTCTCACTGCGGTTAGCGCATAAATCCATTTTAGACGGTTATATTTTTATCAACTCCTAAACATTAGATATACAAATATTATTAGGTACGAAAAAAGTACTCCATCGTTGCGTAGTTAATATTATAGGCAAACAGTTCATAGGTACAGGTGTTATAATAAACAGAGATATATAGAATTCAGATTAGGCAATATGATTGTCAGATTAACTCAATGAATTTTTTTTTAAAGACATTTTATGATATGTTTTTTCCGGGAAAGCTTTAAAGTTATAATATTGTTATTAATATTCATAAAACAAATTTATGTGGAGTAAAAATACTATTTAGTTCATTATTTTAATTCAACAGAGAAATTTTTAATTATAATCAAGCGATTCTAATGAGGAAATTAAACACATTTTTATGTGAAATAAGTTTAAAAAAAATTACTTTAAATGTTTTCCATAAAAATGTAAAACATATCACGTTACACGTGGCCCGTGATAGTTTTGTACTATTTTAACCCATTTATCATATTATTTCAGATAATTGTAATATCTTGACAGGAATAACCAATAGCCTGTATAGTTTTTAATAGTTTCTATACTGCAGTCGCATGGCGGTGACTTTGGTGTTTGATACTTATCTCGGCGTCGAACATCTAAATTATATTTAAGCATCTTTTTTTGTAAGACTTCTATTATACTATTGTAACAATTGATAAATAAAATATATTATTAAACAGGTATAAAAGCGATCCGGTGTCACTCGCATATAATTAACAAGTATATAATAGGTACCTAACGACCTTATTTTTCAAACATTTATTTAAACATTTGTATAAATATTTATTTCCACAGTAAGCGAATACCTAAGAGATTCTCATATGTCTTAAATAAGGCATGAATTAAAGAAGCTTTCTAATGTTTATTTTTATTAAACGTGGATAATATTTTTTTAATATTTTTTTATTTTTTATTGTAAACTAATGAAGTTTAAAAGTCATTACTAAGTAAGATTGTATTGGAATAGAATAAGTGAATAAACGAATTTATTACTTTAATGAAATTCTATGTATGTCTGCGTGTAAATAAATCAGGAACAGAAATTTTTAGTTTTTCCATTTTTCAACTAACATATTGACCATCTTAGTGATAATATTCAAAAGTGCGGAAGCTAAGTATTGCGATTGCTTATGTTTAAAACTTTATTCGAATTGATATTGGCATGCGCTTTGACTGCGATGAACACACGAAACAACTGGACATTATGTCGCGACCAGGACTTATTTTATACATTTATAGGTAATATAAAATATTATTTAGTAGGTACGTAGTAATAGTTTATACTTTAATTTCTATTCTATTTTTGTTATAAAATAATATTATACGTAAGTATAATATAGATAAAGATATACGCAAAATATTCTTTATGTGCATTCATATACTAATTAAAAATGTAGACTAACTTTTTTTTTAACTAAGTTAAGTATATATTTTTCTACATATTAATTGTTTACTTTGTGAGTTCTTATTGACTTCTAGCTTAACCATATTAATGTATTCCTCTAACCTATGTTTGCACTGGCACGGACTGAAGCAGTGTTGTAGTCCAGCCAATTTTGTTCAACGATATAGATATGACAAACAAACGGTTTAAAATAAGGTCGATTGCGAAAATCGAGTATTATTTTATTTTAAATTCGTACAATCCAATTGCTATCGTACGATAGCAAATAACCTGTAAATACACGTCACGGACACATCGTATAGGCCAAATCGTGTAATGAATAATATATAAGACACATCACCTCCATGGCATACACGTACACGATATTATTATAATTTATAATATCAGCGGATTACGAGTAGGATATTAACATTTAAGAATTTATATAAGTACTTAAATATTTTAGTATAAAAAATGTTTTCGATTTCAGACCTGTTCATTCTAAAATAACTGTAGTACTGTTGTGGAAAACATAGTTAGAAATGTAAAATAAAAACACAATACTGTAAATTAAAGAAATTATTATTATTGATATTTTTTTTTAATTTTTATCATTATTATTCGAACAAAACATTAAACAATTATGCATTTCATAAATTATAACATGTACATATTAAAATTAACAATAATTTATGAATGCATTTTCCGTCTTTTATGCACAGCAGAAAAAGGAGACGAACGTAAACAGCCAATATTTTTTTTTTTTGTACATGAGACTTTTACATTAATCTTTTATGTTTTATCGATACGACAATAATAGTTATAATAATAATAATACATGTTATATAATAATATATAATATTTATTCTAATTAACCTACAAATGAATATATCATTTTATTAGTCTTTTATACATTATACAATAATAATAATTAAAAAATTTGCGAGTTATTTGTATTTATATAATATATAATATACTCACTACAAATATATGTTATTTACACACAGACATTATATACATATTGTATAAACCTTCAACTATTTACAACGTTTCATTTAATATATATTATATTATTTATTTATATGGTATATAAAAATGAGGATTTAAAAACAACAACGCACACAAAATGACTAGAAAAATGGACAGTTTCCATTTTTGTGCGTACGAGATGGAAAATAATAATTGAACACAATTATAATACACTTGTGTATGTACATAATATAATAATATATATATATACAAGAAGATAAACGGGCCTCACTGCAGATGGTAATCGAAGCGGTCATCTGACGCTCCGCCGACTGAGATACCGCGTGGTCCAACGACGATACCACGCCGTTGGTATCTATATACCATCTGCACTGACTCACGCATCATTCAGACATCGCTGTCCGCTTCGGAACTGTATCCATCGTAGTGCATTGTCCCGTCGTCCCTGTGTTGCGCCGACTGCGGAGAACCCTCGCCATAATGGTGCATTTCGCTGTCTGATCCGCTGTTCTGGGTCTCCTGCTTCCACTTGTTGACGTGATGGGAGTTCTTCGAGCCGCCACCGCCGCCACCCGACTGCTGTTGCTGCACCTTGGCTTCTTCTTCTTGTTGCATCCTTTTGTGCTTTGTGCGCCTGTTTTGAAACCAAACTTTGACCTGTGAACAGAGGCGACGTGGTTATTATTCAATTTATGATCGTACTGACATTAATACAGCGTTATATCTATACGGGTGGTCAGGAATTTTTTAGGGGGTATTTATGTTATAATTATGTGTAATAATATGTGAGAGGTTTTAATGAGTTAACTGCACAATCTCCATTGCGAAATCATCGATCTTCATATTAATATCCAATACTTAATACAAAATAGAAAGAACCGCACATGACAATATATTTTGTAGAAATCTGAATCATAATATACAATAAATAATATATTTTTGCATAAATACGACCGTGGATGCTTCGCCCACTATATTAATTATACCTGAACGTCCTAAACTATATAACAGTGGATTTCAATCTTTTTTTCACAATGACATCTTAACTTAAATCCAAATAAATGGCGACATGCTTAAATCATCAAGACTAAAAAGAGTAGGTACCTATACTGATTGCTATGAAATTATACGAATAACTTTAGCCGAAAAATATGTTTAGTAACAAACATTACGGTACTATATGTGACACATCGGTTGATTATCATACGGAATTATAATAATTACAATGTTGCAGGAAGGTTTCTTTTACACGTGTACTGAACATATTATAACAGTTATAATGAGTTATATATTCGTATAATATGCTATATACTCGAACTATTTAAACATATTATTATTATAATACAATTTATTGCTATTACTAATATATTTTCTTTGACGCCCGCAGTAAGTATATTCAATAAACACGCGATGATAAATTATTATTGTTTTATACGCTTATATATGTAGGTACATCATATAACGACGAGTCACGCATCGTAATAATATTATATAATATTTTTAATGCTCAATTGCATTTATACTAAACGTTTCTCGTGTTACGATTAAAACACATTCATGAACATAATTTAATACATACCTATAACCGTAAAATTGTAAACTCGCTAGGTTAACTCATATATCGCGTAAATATTATAGTATATAAGTCGAATTCACACAGACTCATAGGAAATTAATGGATATAATTATTGATCGTTGCTTTCGAGAGTTAGTGTATATTTTTCTGTATGATGCACATTATATATTTATATTTTATGATAAATTACTATAAATGTCGATGGGTATTATATAATATATATACATACATATAAATAAAATTTAACTTAAGCATATTGGAGTTATATTATTCTATAAAATGACGTATATGATTATATACACATTCACGCACTTAATATTATAATATGGGTATACGTACACACATAATATACAGAACACAATAAAGGTCAGAGTAAATTTCTTTCAAATTTGAAAACAATTCTTAAAAGTTGTCCTTACGCCATTTTAATAATACATTTCCAATATAATATGTATCGTACATTCATACGACCTGAGTCCCGACTCATATGTGTGGAATTCAATTCGCATCTCATCCATTTATATTATATACGCCTATGTGTATATATAATAATTATATTATAAATCATCGTTATGATTACTGCCGGAACTTAAGCCATAAATGATACACGTGGAATATAATAAATAAATATGATAAAAGCGGATTTAAAAAAAATAATTGAATAAAACGAAAAGAGTGACAACAGTGACAAGTCTTGCTATTTTTATTTATGAAATAACAAAATCGGTCTTTATAGGAACACACGTAAAATACCTCTATATTAATTTAATATATATATATATAGTATATAAATACATAATACATATATACATATGTAATACAAACAATATACGATTATCATATATACATATATGATATTGTACTTAGGGAATATATTATTATATTCGTATACACGCTCGTGATGATATAATATGCAAGCTCGTAAAACTGACGTAGGTGGGTCGGTTAAAATAGGGGTGAAATAAATATAAGGGACCGGGGGCTGTTTACTCGGTAGATGATTGCCGGTTAATCTGCAATACGCGCGCAAACAGTACGTGACGGAAAATGGATCTCGGGCGATTTCATTTCCGAGTAAAATATCGTCGAGGAAAATAAAAAAATAAATAATATAATACATACATATATTGCAGAGCACTGCACATCATATGATTTACGGAAGGGCAAAAAATAACACGCACATACACTAGTCCGCTCGCGTCCAAAAGCGCCCGTTGAAAGATGGCCGATTTATAAAACGATTGAAAAATAATATTTGCACTGCCATAATACACATTATATTATATATATATATATATAATCGGAAAGAGGTAGCTTAGTACAACCCACATCAATAGTGAGTGAACGAGTGAGTAAGAGAAACACATCGCTAAAGGGAGTCAGCCTTTGCAGTCTACAGTTATGTATATTATATGTGTATGTACGTAAAAGTTAGGGTGAGTCTACCGTTTTAATATTATATATATAGTATAAATAGATGATAATAATATTAAATTTACTATATAGTATATTTACATTACTCGGACATTAATCGCACGGAAATCAATTTCATGCAGGTGATAAAAAAATAAACAAATAACGACTCAAGGTTAAACATTATTTAAATGTAATTATATATTATTGTCTACTACAGCATTTAAAAAATAAAATTTTAAAAAAATGCAGTAAATTACCATAATTTGTTTTTTGGTTTAATTGTAATAATTATATCATACAGACGTTTTTCTCTAATAAATTAATAGTATTCGACTTGAAAAAACTTTTTCTAGCGCGGTATACATACACAGTACAATTACTGAGATTTAAATTTATTATCCCTAACATAATTAACTCTACGCCAATTGCTTGTGAAGCAAATTCTATGTTAATAATAATTACTTTATTTAACGTGCAATTATTGTGCATATATACGTCTCGTGAATATTGTTTTCTACGATCACAGTATGTATTATATAATATTATATATAATACCATCTATATACTCGTATACTCGATGTAATATGTTTCAACGTTTCATTAAATTATTTTACAACGTTCATAAAAATATTTGTTATTCTCAATTAGAATAATCTTCCAGTTTTAACTACACAGAAGTAAATCGTAGTGTATAATACTTAATAATGGTCTTAATGGGTGAGGGTGTATGTTCATGTAATAAAATTAAACGGGGTTCGCAATTACAACACGACTTAGTATTTACTATTGATTGTATGAAGATACCAAATGTTTCAATCACTAGCTGCGACTTAATAACGAACTAGAATATAATAATTACCTACATATTATAATATATTAAACGAAAACGTGATTTTTTTTTATTATAAATGCACACTATTATAAAAACATATACAATACAATACGTTCAAGCTTCTCAAAGATCGATTGAGCTTTTCGTTTCCGTTATTTTTTAAGGAGAAAAATACGAATTGTTTGATATTTATCAAAAAAAAAAAAAAAAAAAATAACTATGTAAACGTGGTAGGAGGAATTTATTTTTATTTTATTTTGAAAGGTTTATTACCCCTTTTGCGTCTTCCATGATTCTATCCGCGATACAAGTTATCCCGAGAATTATTCGTCGTGACGGCAACAACGACGATGATAAACACGAGTCGTTTTAGGTCGCGACAAAAATAGCTAGACGATATGTACTATTTTATACACAACAATGACTATACGAGTATATATACTGCATATACGAAGGATGGCAATTTCCTTTTTCCAAGGAGTACCCGAAACTACAGTTGCTACAGCAGTTACCATAATACTGTGACGCGACAACAGCAGTGCGTTTTAAAGTCAACCCTCCTCCAACCTTTCCCTCCATAAGTTATAACACAAGGGTGGTAATCAAATATCTGTTTTCTCGGGTATTATTTATTTTTTATTTTACTTCCTCCGGATTTATAGCTATTTCCCGGTAGCACATCAAAATTTGGTACGTGACACAATATAATATTATATATTATATAATATATATCATACATAGCTACCGAGGCTCCAAGACAAAATTTTCACATAATATGATTTACAATATAGTTGTAAAACCACTCGTCATGGAAAGCACTGAATTAAACTTGTTTAAATATATATATATATAATATTATGTGCAAGGATTCGCCAAGTATGCTAACCTTTATTTTTCCCTTAAGTAAAAAATGTATTTGAATTTTGATTTTTAGAATTATAAGTATACATACTTAAGAACCATATTTTTAAATATTTAGAAATTGTATCTTATTTAGAAGGTATTTTGTGTTGATATAAACTTCTTTTGCTAAATGAGAACCATTTTTTATCATAATATTATGTCAAGATGATTATTTTTTAAATGTTGATATGTATAAACTAAAATTCAAATAATTAGTTTATAGGTTATTAAACTGTATAAATTATAAAGATAATAGTGAACAGTCAATATGTTTCTATTATGGTTTAGAAGATTTTATGACGTCTACGATAATTTTAGAATTTGTAAAAATTGTTTGAAAATAATAAATACAAAATTAAATAGTAATTATATTAATTTTATATTTTATTTAAAACCATTATTAAACACTATTATTGTCCTTATTTTAATAACTTAGAAACTACTTGTTTAAATTTGAAATTTGATACGTCAACATTTAAAAAAAAGAACTGGTTAAAAATGTATAATAAAAAAAATAGTTTCCATTAATATAAATAAAAGTTTGTATCACCACAACTATTATTTCTATTAAACGATATAAAAAATTAAGATTTTTTTAGATATGATCTTTTCTTAAAAATTCAAATAAATTATTATTAAAAAATAAAAGAGCGGTAAGCATTCTTGGAAATTATAATTTTTTCACGCTACATTTTTCGACAGCAATAGTATTAATTAAGGATCGAAATGAAATTATACCTACATAAACTTTATCATATAATTCATTTAATATTATTATTCTAATAAATAATAATTTATCGTTATATGCATACGCGAGATGTGAACGTTATTTGATCCACAGAAGCGGATGAACACTGTACGAATTACGTACCTATTTATATTACAGTGTTTACACACACATAGGGATATAATATGAAAATCAATTTTTGA